AGCAACTCCTCCTTTTTTAATCATGTAATTTCATTTTACAGAGAATTCTTCTATCCTTCCATATAATGTTTGACACATTTAAAAACACATTTGTTTCACATTTGTGTGAAAAAAATGCTTTTGGTTTAAAAAAAAATTTCATGCTTACCAATCTTTTTTAGAGTTAATTGTGCTCCAAAATAGCCTAATAAGAACATTAAAAGTGTTTCAATATAAATTTTTGTGATGACAACACACCTCAGAAGTGTCCTTCAAACTATCCATATGAAATACACATTTCACTCAAATAATGAAAGTTTTGGGAATCAAAGGCAATAAGAAGTAATCAAGGAACTCTTCACAGTTTTTTGAAATATAATTTTTTCATGTGCCTTAACTTCTGATTAAGTAGTTTTCAAAATTTGAGAAGCTATGGACTGTTGAAAAGTTTTGCCAGTTGTCAGCAGCAGCTGGAAAAGCAAAGCGTAAGCAGTTTTATGTTCAAACAAATAACGTACCTTTCAAAGCCTTACTAACAGACACAATTTAAGATGGAAACTTCATGCTGATGGATGTTAAGGGTCAACTGGAATATTTAAACATATGCAATCTGATTCTACTGTCATGTATTCCATTGCCTTCAATGTAGTGACTTGCAGAAGTGTAAGAAAGAGGAAAACTGGATATTAAATGGCACTCAGAACAAGATCTATCACTATAATCTCTTCAGTAATGTTATTTATCTCTCTATGTCATACAGTAATTGTAACAACAGCATTAAGTTAGAAAAGCAATATTGAATCAGCCCGAACAAACCAAATTTTAATTGCACCTGAAAATATATACTGCAGAAAATTCTGCATATTTATTGACAAGAAGAAGACACCAGCCCAGGATATTTTAGAATAACTTCTATGCTCAGCAATATATAAAAGAAAAAAAAAGTGCAAGAAAAGATTAAAGACATTCTTACTTTTGTAGTCATATTTACTTTCTACTGCATGGCAAGGTGGAACAAGATTCAAATTTACAGTAAAAAGTTTCTTTCAAATTACCTTTGAAATATATACTAATAGGTTTTCTTACTCTAACATTTAGGTTTTCCAGAAAGGCAATAGGGGTAGTTATTACAGATTTTCAAATGTGTTCCATAGCATTTCATTGGTGCAGATTGTGTGGGGCACACAAACAGAAAACCCCAAACCTTTGCAAGTGTTTCAAAACAAAATGTTTTAGTTAAAATATGTTAAACTAAGGTAATCATAGAACAAGAGAATTAGTGTACACTTTAAAATTAACTTAAAAATACATAATCTGAAAGATATTACCTGCGAGTCAAAATTAATTCATTTAATCACACACTTTTCAGTATTTTTGTGAGGCATGTCCCTTTCAACAGGAATACCAGCTGCTTTACACTTTGTCTATTAGTCATTAAATGTAAGTCATTAAAATTGTGTTATATTTGATCTGAATTCTCTTAAGAGATGGAGACAAAGTTAATAAGGAGAAGTGAATTCTGGTGCCTATTTATGTTTTTTAAAAAATTATTAGGATACAAACGTATATATCTACTCAGTCAAATATTAATGTTTACTAAAATTTCATATATTTTGCATAAATAAAATAATGAGCTAAAAGATACAACACAAAACTTGTGTGAGGCCTTGGGCTTGTCCCTGTAGCTAGGCAAGGTAGGCCACAATTTATGGAGCTGGATCACACTTTGAGAGCATGCTGAAGCATTTCAATCAAAATAAGACAACTTGTCAAATGTGAACTAGTTTTGTATCTTATTTCAACCACGGTTTCTTGAATTTCTTTACCGTAATCAAACATGATTCTCAGGGAAAAGCATCTTTTCACTCTTGTTCATTCAAAATTATTTGTGTGAAAACACAGATTTTCTGTAGGTCATTAGGCTACTTAAATCTTAGTAGAATTAACATGATTGAATATGTCCTCTAGTTAATGGTCTGTGTAAATTATACATATGAAACAAAATAATTGTTTTAATAAATGCTTGAACAGCAGCAAATCAGTCCTGAAACCTAGAAAGACATACAAACGGAAGAAATAAATCAGGTCATAGCACATCCTAGTCTTGGAAATACCCAGGTTTTGCCTGAGAACATTCATTTTGTCATTATCCATGCCCCTAGGTCTTTCTTCTTCTGAGCACTTTTCCCACAAGTTACCTGCTAGAGTTCAAAGAACAGATGATTTTAAAGAGCCATGAATTACTTTTTTCCAAAACATGTTCCTAGAAATATTAATTTTATCCACTGCATAGAATTATGTGTTATCACAAACATAGTGCCAAATCTAGAATAAGTAAGAGGGAAGAAGAATGACAAAAATAAAAAGCTGCCTTTTTTATATCAATTTAGGGTAATATCTTTACCTTTTAGAGGCTCACTCTGGGAGAAGAACAAATTCTAAACTCAGATGTTAAATAAACAAGAGGGAAAACCAGAAGCATTGCATAAAACAGTCAAAATTATTCCTTTTGTTTTTATGATTTATTGTGTAGAACACAGCAGAACAAGGAGTAGAACCTATGGTATCAAGGAATGAATAGAGTCAACATATAAGCTGACTTAAGCAAAATTTGGCACAGGAGATAACCAATTGTTGGCTAAGGATTGCTGAAGAATGTAAGTAAAATGGGCTTATGTGTTACATTGCTGTAAATTCTTATGCATAGCTTTTTTGCTTTTTTTATGAACTTAATGTAGGAAAGAAGAAAGAACAGTAAACTAAAGGTGGAACAGGAATACCAGTGGAACCAGGAGGGGCAGAAGACTACAGACTATAAATTTAACACCATAACAAACAATTTGTGCTTCAGCTTTCTTCCCAGATTATTTTCATCCATTTATGCTATTCCACATTTTGCAATACAGTTCTTTACAAAAATAGTCTAAAAGTACATCAGAAGGCAGTAGAAATATCCACCTGAGAACACCACAATATGTGGGTATATCAGAACTCTCTATCAGGAGAATGGGGGAGAACTATTACTGCACATCATGATAGAAAAAAGGAAAATAAAATGCAAAGGTAAAAATGAAACATAAAGCTATTAATCTTCATTTATTTTCTATTCTTTAATATCACCCTCCCATGTAAATCTTGTTTTAGTGTGTTTCATCTTGCTTTAGAGAAAAGATCAAGATACTTTTGTGTTGCTCTTGGTTACTCCCCAATCACATATATCAGAAATAATTATATTTAAAAAGCTAGTAGTTAAAGTAGCTAAATATTTAAACATAAAATTGAACCCAAAGAAGACAAAATGGAATGTGATTTGGAGAAGTTAGTTTTTCATGTGAACAATATATATAAAGAAAAGCCTCTATTAGCCTCTAGATTGTGAAATTCATAAGTGATTGCACAAAATGCTGAAATATCCATGGATATCTGGAAGCATGTTATGATGCCTCTGTATATTTAAGTGAGAAGTTTGAGAGACAGGGAAAACACAGCTATTGCGCACATTTCCTTTAAAAAATATCTTGCTGATGGTAGGACCCTCCGGGGAGAGCTTAATGGAAGCGTCTTTGCCTGAGTCTTTCTGAAGTCCATAGGAAAGGAAGTGCTTTAAGAGAGTCCTTTGGAAATGCAATGCACTTTTTTCTTCAGCCTTTCCAAGGCACTAGAGGAAAGGAACTTTCAGGTGTTACATACAGAAGCAACATGTACTACTGTAATTTTTATTAATGCCTTGAACATACTATATTCCTTAAACAGAGGAAGATAAACATACTAGAAAATGCTCTTGTCACACATTTACTTTTTTTAACCAATACAGTCTTTTGATACCTCCTTCATACCTCAGCTTTGTATTTATTTCTATCTTATTGCTTTCTTTCAGCAGCATGTTCAAAAATATGACAAACATCTGTCTTGTGACTAAAAATACAGTTCAGCATATCCACTACACTATCAAGTACACCACAGACAAGCTCATACATCATTTACTCTTGGTAGCATGACAGCAGCCCAGCCAGTGCACTGGACAAGGAGCTACAGATAAGCATTTTTATTTTCTCAGGGCTTAACTCCTGCTTAGCCCTGCACCTGCCAATTTGTGCTTAAGTCTCAAGAGCTTGCACACAGGTAGAGTGCCAACTTGGAGATGAAACAAGGCCAGGACTTTAACTATAACGTGGCAGTGCTTTTTCCATCTCTGCAGCAACTCCCGCGCTTGGAAGTGTTCAAAAATGTCTGGCTGCTTCTGCAATTTAGAGATCTTTCATTTTTAGGTCAGGCTGCCTCACAAGCTACAGACATGCAGTAAGCAATTCAGATTGAGAGGAACAGGCTGTAATTCATATAAACACAGAAGTTTAAAAGGCAAGACATTCTTTACAGATTTTATTTTTAAATCACCAGTTATGGTATGTAATCCTTATGCTTTTCTAAGAAGCTCCTGGAGTGTGGCAGTACAGATGCAACAACAGACTTCTGTCACATATCTGTCAGAGATTTTCAGAATGAAATATTGTAACTCCCCATGTGAAAGGTTGCAACATCATAGTAAACAAGCAAATATCTAACTCCAGAATTAATCTGCAGTACTTTAAGGGTAGTTCTGCATATATCCAGCTTGGAAAATATTTTGCAAAATTAATACTCATCTATAACAAATTTAAAATCACTCATATGATTTTTCTATTTCATTATTTATTGTTTCAGAAAACAACATTCTCTGGACAATCAGCATAAACTTGTGGCAATATTATATGCAGCACAATGGATTTTTGCTTTTTTGTTTAAAGGCTAGGGATTGGTTTTGCTTGGGGGGATTGCTGACAAAGCACTTGGCAGCAGGTACGACACATCTACAGTAAGTGGATCAGAGTATTTTACCTGCAAACATGCTGCAATAAAGTGCCATCATTCAATCAATACAGACTACTTAGTTAACATTTTTCTTAATGTATCTGGACTACCAGTTCATTAGATCATTACCTGATAAATAGTGTGGGTAATGAATCGAGAGAGCAACTACATACCTTCAGGAAGAACCTGCCCGATAACAATAATCCATTAGGAAAACTGGCAGTATCCTCTGATCTATTGCCCGCAAAGCTATGACTTGATGGAGAGTTTCATTCCCTCTGCTCAGCACTCCAGAAGAAAATCAGCACAATTTAAATATTTCTCAGGATGTGACAGCTCTCTAGATCCCTGGCTGCTTTCTTTTCCCAGGGGTTGACAATCTGGTGTTCCAGTGTGCATAGAGCAGTGAAGATGAATTGAAAAAGCTTGAGATAAATTAGGGATGGCTAAGTTAAAATTGTCTCTGCTCCCGAGTCTCTCATCTGCAGTCTGCAAGCCTATTTTGCTGTGAAAAAGCTAGATGGCAGGCTGCCTCAATGAGTTCTTCTTAAGCGACAGGGAGCATTTTCAATGAAGAAAAATTCTCCCATTATCTAAGCTAATGTGACTGCAGCTAAATCTAGTCTTAAAAGTGTCTACTAGCATGAAATTCATTCTCACTGCTGCTTCCTTTCAAGCCACAGGTTAAAAAAGAGAAAGGAAGAGAAAAAAAACCAAACAAAAAATCCCCACAATAAACCATAAAAGCACCACCCTAGATTTTTCTATATGAAAAAAAAACCCCTCAAACTTTTAAAAGTTGATAAATGGCAACACATTTCATAACTATGCCCAAAAATCTAAGTGTTGGGAATTATCACCATTTCCAAAAGTTTATCTGTTTGCACTCAGTTAATTTTTCCACTATCCTTTCTATTTTGTTTTTAATAGATATCATGTTGTTGCAATTGTCTTAATTTTCAATGTTCTAAGAAAGGAAAGAGCAGTATTTTCCCCTTGTTGGCAAAAAATGAAGGGACAGCTAAAATTCTGAACAATCACCATGTTTAGCCTTAGTAGTTAATCCTAGATAATCCTCCAAAAAAAAAAAAAGTGATTGATATTTTGCCATGCATCTAAAAAACATTGTGTAGCATTTTTTTAATTATGAGCCACTTCTCACCCTATTTCATAAAAAGAGATAGAATTGAAGTTTTCTGAATATCACTTTAGTGCCAAAGCTATTTGATGAAGTAACTAATATCTGCTGTTATGTAAAAAGTTTTTACATTGAAAACACTATGGCAGGGGTTTTTCATTGAACATATCAAATGAAGATTTTTATCCTCTAAAACACTGGATACAATTAATAAAAAAAGACTTAATTTCAAAGAGTCATGCTCCCTAGTAAGCAGAAATTTCTGCAGATTCTCTCTCTAGTTTCAACTGATCCAGTTTGCTGAAGTCCTAGATATCTACCACTAACGACTTTCTCAGACTTGATTTCTCAATATCATGGAAATTCAGGCTCCCACCCTAAGCTGTAAATAAACACAGTTGCAGCTGAATACATATGAAAACAGCCTTAGTGTCAGAGCATTTTGAGAGTGATAAATAAATATATTGCCAAGAAAAAGATATAAACCCTGCTTTCATCAAACAGGCATGAAGAGACTCTAAATCCATAGGACGTGACTGCAGAGGCCTCACTTTTTTCCCATGCCCTGGGGTAAAACACTCACTCACATTAACAGAACTCTACCAGGTGAAGTGAAAAGTCATGATCAGCATTTACAAATTCCCTTGGGGCTTAAGTTACTAAAGCCACAGCCCCACAGAACCTCTTTATTTTACACTGAAGGCACTGTGCCCAGACTATTTTTTTTTTAACAGAAACTCCTTTGGCCTGTGTCCTAATAACCACCCCTTGAAGCACATGCAAGCACTTGACCAGATCCAATTGTTCAGTACATACAGCTCACCTAAATATACCCCAAAGTAACACATAATCCCCAAAGGGATTAAGAATTTCCCCATGTTGCCTTGCTCTAAGATTATTTAGGGCGTTGTAACACTCACACTTCTAAGTTACAGTGGCTGTGTTACAGTTCCTGTCATTAATATTTGCACATTTTCCACATAAACAGATAATAATACCACAAGTCACAGAATCATAGAATGGTTTTGGTTGGAAGAGACCTTCAAGATCCTCTAGTCCAAACCCCTCAGCTCTAGGTGGCCCTGTTTGAGCAGGGAATTTTGTCTACGTGACCTCCAGAAATCCCTTCCACCCTCAACAATTCTGCAATTTTCACTATTGTTTAGGAACCACGAAAATCCTCACTTCACAGTTCCAGTGTTGTTCTGTTTAAATGTTTCCTAATTTTGTTAGCCTTTATTTTTCAAAACATCATCCCTTAATTATTTTAGATTGTTAGATTCCTCTTTTCTCCTGCTCATACAATTACAGCATCTGCTGCTGAAACTAATAAAACTGCTGAGACCTCATTGTGCAGCAGCCCAGCCCTAAATTTCCCAATTTCTCATCACAATAAAGAAAAAGCTGAAAGCCACCTGCTAGCCTTAAAGACAGCACTGGTTTGTGTGCTATTTATTAATTTTAGAATGAGAATCACTCATGTCTCCCTGATCTCAGCATCTACTGCTTCAGCCAGAGCCATCAGTGCCAATCTGCTGCGTTTCTTGGAGACTCAGCAACTTGGGTCAAACAGCAATACCAGTGTCTCAAGTTTCTATTCATAAAATTCTACTATCTTGGACAAATTAAAAATATATAATAATTTTAATTCACTATTTCTAGTGGTATTGTTATTTTAGAAGGTATGATTCATTCATATTCACTGGTTTGAATAATTAACATTGGCATGTCAGATTCTAGGAGATTTCTGATGAATTTTGGGGGGTGATATGGAAGGAAATAGAAAACCAATTTAGCAGCAAAACATAGTAATCGAAAATGCCTAAGTAAAATTCTGACCTTTGACTACATATTCTTCTCAGATTCCTTTTTTTTTTTAGCATCAGATGAAGAAAGGGAGAATGTAACAATTGTTTTTTTTCCAGGAAAAAAAAAGGTTTACTAAGCCTTGAAGATGTTTAGGGATTTGGTCCAAGACACCCAGCAAAGCACATTCACTTGATTTGCAGAGTATTAGAGCAAGACATAGATTCACAAGAATTTCTCAGACATTTCCAGGACAAAAATTTATAGGGCTTGGTTTATTATTTGGTTCATTATTTTGGCTTGGTTTAGTTTTGATGGGGTTTATTTTTGTTTGCTTGTTTGTCATTTGGGGTTTTTTCCTTTCCAAATTACCTACTGGAAGCTATCTAGTTTAATAAATTTTTGGAATCAATCAGAGAGACCCAGATGGACGCAGAGGTGACACTGTTGGCTTAGCATGCTAGATATTTTTGGTGTGCTGTAATCCAGTTATGAAAACTTGTTTCTATACCTCAAAAGACAGCAACATCCCAATGAGCAGTGGGTGAAAAAGGTGATAGTGGAGTGGTACATATTGTAACACTGTGACATGTTCACACAGAATCACAGAATTTCTAGGTTGGAAGAGACCTTTAAGATCATCAAGTCCAATCCATGAACCTCACCTAGATCATGGCACCAAGTGCCACATCCAGTCCTTTTTTAAACACATCGAGGGATGGTGACTCCATCACCTCCCTGGGCAGATGATTCCAGTATTTGACCACTCTTTCTGTGAAATACTTCCTCCTTAATTCAGCCTGCATCTCCCTTGGCGCAGCTTGAGACTGTGTCCTCTTGCCTGGGTAACAGAAGTTGTAATTGCTATAAGAGTACTTTGACCTGGGTGCCTCAAAACTTTAGGGAAGTTGATTTCTATAAACCACATTTATACATTGTGCCTATTTAATTTTTAAACGTATATAGTAGCATGACTTCCACAGTTACAAGGTTGATTTCTATAGAATATTAAAACCTCTTCTATTTAATAGGACACACTAAAAATATATAGAGTTATTTGGCTAAATCTTCAGAATGAATAGTCTTCTGCAACTGGTGATTCTTACTAAGTAAAGGAACTCAATTTACTTAAATGTTTGTGTTACCTATTTCTCTGTCATTCTTCACTGCAGACAAAATACTGGATCATAAATTTAGAATATATTCTTCTTGCTTTACCCTGCCTGTCTTGAATTAGATTTTCATAGCAGAGAAAAACTTCTAATGGGGAACTCCAGTGGGATTAGAGATATGCAATTCAAAGATGAAAACTTCAGTGACAGAAAGTGAGACTTCGTTGCTACTGTATATTGTATTTTGCATACATATGTAATAACTGAAAAAACTGCAATGTGGATGCATATAAGCACTTAACCTTTTGAAGTCTCTCTTTCATTATTGTTAAATGAACCCTGGCTTAGTTTTAGATGTGTCATATGTTTCTTCACTGTTTGTTCTTGGAGTACCTGTGATCAGTGTTTGCATGTTTTTGGGCCATTGCTGCTATTTTTTCTCTTTTAGATTAATAGAGGAATATACCTGGATGAAAATAAATCACACATAAAAATATTTTGCCTAATCTTAAGAGTTAATAGTTGAAAGTGTTGGATTCTATTATGAGTGCACCTTAACGCCCTTCTCCCACTGGTTTTCATACAGTAACCACTTATTATAGGGGAAATGATATTCCAGATAGAAGTATATAAATTTGAAGAGAAGATGGTGACCTAGATGTGCTTTTTGAGTTCCACTTGCCGGATTCTGTGGGAGAATTTACTCAAGCCTCTCTTCAAAGTTGTCTTCCATGTGGTTCCCAGAAGAAATTAATTGAGACTTAGTGAGGGAAAGATGAATGAAAATAGATGACCTTAACATGCTGATTTTTATTGTCTTTTTTGATTACTGTATACTTCCTTTTTCTTTCCTTCCTCGTTGTGCATTTTAAAGACAATAGAAAGAAAATAAATAATAACATACAGAAACATGTACTGTTAAACAGTAAGGAGACATATGTGCTTCTAAAATTTCAACATTCAATGAAAGATTCTTCAAATTTCCTGGAACTGATCTTTTAGCTAAATATTTGTTCCCTTCAGCCCTTATTTGCATTATTGTGAATGGGGTCTTACTTTGAATTCATACATCAAATTTCATCTCAAAAACTCAGGGCAAGTTTATTGCTTCTCTCTTGAAACCCACAGAACTTGTGTTAATGCAGCTCAAAGTCTCAGCAACTCTGTGTGAACAGATACCAAAAGATTAAGGTACTAGAGAAAAATAAAACAAAACAAAAACCCTGTTACATAATTCCAGACAAATGAGGGAGGGCATTTAGACACTACTATAATATAATTAAACAGTTAACAACAAAAATAATGTCTTAAAAAATAAGATGGAAAAAAACCCCCTAATATAAACACCATGTACCCTGTGGGAGTACAGTGCAGAATTCAGAGCACGTTCAAGCATGTCCAAACCTTTTAGTTTGTTCAGAAAGCTTTTTCCTTAGCTCTGGGGTACTGTTGAGTGGTTTCACAGTG